CCCCCCCCCCCCCCCCCCCCCCCCCACCCCCCTCTTTAGCAGCAGCTCTTTGGACCTCCTCGTTCCTATATGTACGCTTCTCTGTGCGTTTGGGGTCAAAGGTCAGAGCTGCTCACGCTCCGGCGTGAGCGTTTACCCCTCCGGTTCTGCTGAGTGGTAAAGGGGGGGGCTTAAAGTGGCCTGGGGCAGAGGCTCTACCGGAAGAGGACTTTGGACTGTCAGAGGCAATAAGCCCCGCCCACCCTATAGATACAACACTGCCATAAAAGAAAACCCTCGGGGGGGGGGGGGGGGGGGGGGGGGGGGGGGGGGGGACTGTTGGAGGAGTCGTTTGTCTCCCAGGTGCTGTTTTCTTTGGGTGAGCTCCATAATGAGTCGTTTCTATGCAGAAAGAGGTTAAAGCCCACACGGAAATAGAGATATCCTGTTTAAACAGCCACTGATGCCTCAGGAGAAGGTTCCTGATTGGTGTGCTGGTCTTAGGCCATCAGGAGAGGGTTCCTGATTGGTCTGCTGGTCCCACGCCATCAGGAGAAGGTTCCTGATTGGTCTGCTGGCCCTAGGCCATCAGGAGAGGGTTCCTGATTGGTCTGCTGGTCCTAGGCCATCAGGAAAAGGTTCCTGATTGGTCTGCTGGTCCCACGCCATCAGGAGAGGGTTCCTGATTGGTCTGCTGGTCCCACGCCATCAGGAGAGGGTTCCTGATTGGTCTGCTGGTCCTACGCCATCAGGAGAAGGTTCCTGATTGGTCCGTTGGTCCCACGCGATCAAAAGAGTGTTCCTGATGGCCTAGGACCAGCAGACTCCATCAGGACAGGGTTATTGATTGGTCTGCTGGTCCCCCGCCATCAGGAGAGGGATCCTGATTGGTCTGATGGCGTCCGCTGGTCTCATACCATCAGGAACCCTCTCCTGATGGCGTCCAGTGGTCCTACGCCATACGGAGAAGGTTCCTGATGGCGTGGGGCCAGCGGACGCCATCAGGAGAGGGTTCCTGATGGCGTCCGCTGGCCCCACAGTGGCAGATTCCCGGCCTATCGTTGACATTTAGCAGCAGCTCAGAGCGGTATCTTGAAGAACCGGTTTCGAACCGACAGACTGAGGTTTTGCGTGTGGTTCGTCCCTCCTGACGGCGGCTGTTTCTCATCATCCTGGTCTCTCCCTCCGCAGGAGGCCTGCCCCTGGCGGCCTTTAACCTGGGTAAAGTCCGCCCCTACCAGAGGGGCTTTTTCTGTAGCGACGACAGCATCAGGTACCCCTTCCACCACAGCACGGTCACCTCCACCGTGCTCTACACGGTGGGCTTCAGCCTCCCCATTGGCTGCGTAAGTAGGGCCCGCCGGCGCCCGCCGGGGGGGTCGGCCGGACACGTCCGACCTTTGACCTGAAAGCAAAGCAGGATGTCCACTTTCCAAACGGCCGATTCGGACACTACTCCACCACAGAGGGGATTTCGGTCTGGTGTTTGGGTTTCTAAATGACTGTTGATGGTCAA